TCAAGCTGCTTATCCTACTATCTAGTGGAGCAACACTTATTCTTTGAAACTTTTGAAGTTGCGATTGCTGAAACTTCCATACACCTGAATGTGAAAGTTGAAAAATCACCTTATTTTTCGCACATTTAACATTTGAAACTTCGCTACTCGACGGTTACTTTCTGAATGGACCCGCTTTCTTCACAGACCTTCATAGAAACATTTACTCCATGAAATCTTTGAGGCTGCACTAAGTTTCACTTCTGTACACTACATTCGATAAACACCTTCATTAGAAATATTTGTACGGTTCTGATCATCGTATCCGTGATTTGTGGGGCAAAAGAGAGTCGTTTGGTTAGAGCTCTTGGAATCATCGGAGGTTATCAAGGAGCTTCGTTTTCCGAAAGCGTAGAAAGTGATGGACGTAGATGCGTTCATGGAGGATGATGGCCTTGCTGTGCCCGCAGTATGTGACGGCGAATTCCTAAAAGTAAACTATGTAAATCTGTTTTATTAATTTCTTTTGTTTTGCTTATTAGGTTGTCTCATAAATCTTTTCAATTTTGACTTTTTACCGCCATAAATCACACGCTTCTTGATTCTGATTAGTATGCAAGGTACCGTTCGATAGAGCAAAGCAATCTGTACAATGCCGTGTGAGTGTTCGCACCAGCTTCACTACATCACGAATTAGAAGCCGAAATCTAGAACTTTCGGATGCCCGAAAGATCGAAAAACGTTTATATGTTTGTTCAAAAAAAAAAACTTACCAGATTCTAAACATACTCACACATATACACTCCACATGAGACATTCATATATGCCGTTGCTGTGTTTGTTTTTGTGCTGAAAACCAAGAAAACTGAAACTTCCAAGCTTTCAAAAACGCGATGCTGCGCTGTACTCACACAGGTAAATGTATACTACAGGCCTTCAGAAATACATTGCTAAAGCTTCAGCTTCCTGGAAGCGCCAGTTCCTGAGAAAGTTTGAATTTAACACAAAATACGTCAACAAAAAGAGTCATATTCGGTATTTCTTAGAAACCCCTTCCAAAGCTGATTATTTCTAAAGGTCTGTAGTATACACTTATTTATGTGAGAACAGCGCAGCATCGCTTTTTGGAAGCTTGGAATTTTTAATTTTCTCAGTTTCTAGCACACAAAAACAAACACAACAACGGCATATATGAATGTCTCATGTGGAGTGTATTTGCGTGAGCTCTAGGATCTGGTTGAGTCTTCTTTGAACAAAGGTATGAAAAATTTTTGAGTTTTCGGGCATCCGAAAGTCATCAGATTTCGGCTTCTAATTCGCGATGTAATGAAGCGGTGCGAACACTTACAACACTTACACTTACACAACACTCTTGTACAGCTTGCTTTGCTCTATCGAACCGTGCCTTGCATACTAATCAGAATCAAGAAGCGTGTGACTTATGGCGGTAAAAAGTCAAAATTGAAAAAACTGTTGAGACAACCTAATATTTTGCGCTTTTTATCAGTCACTTAAAAAAATTTTCAGGCGCAGAACTAAAGGTGCTCACCCTGTACCAGCTCAAAAATGAAGATAGGAGGAAATCGGCTCCTATCATCGCACCTCTGGGTAGAGGGTCTTGTGGCGGACGACTTCTTTCACATCTCCTTAGAAAGCATCAATTCTGGCTGCATGTTGAGGAGAATAGTTGATGATGCTGACGTGAGGACGTACATAGATGTGGGATGACCAGTCAAAGTAATAGGACCTCTTGCGAATCGACTACATATCTCCTCCCGGTCCTCGCTTCCTGCGGAGCATTGGCGTAGAACTTTAACGTGCCTTGAAGCGCGTTGTGAAGAGCGTGCACATCTCAAATCCATAAGCGCACGCCTTCGCAAGCTGATGGAAACATGATCAATTTTCTTGGCACAAATGTTTTCGCGATAAAGAGAGTGGTATAGAAATCCACAACGCGCTGCAACTGCAATCGCCTGAAATGAAATTATGACCGAAGCCTAATTAGGCTCGGTCATAATTTCCCTCGGGAAGTTTGGCAAATTGGTTTGCCCCTCGGGAAATTCCCGTGATTTGTCTGAGAAGACGTGATTTTGTCCGATACAAATAGAGCCCCGAGCACTAACATTTGTATGGTTACTACCCAGCGCCTTAGATGGAATACGAATTGTTGGACTTTTTTCAAATTTGCTGATCAAGTAATTGATAAGCCCTGAGAAAGAAGAGGCTAAAAGAGGCTAACTGATGCTCCTACTTTCCACGGCGATTATGACCGTGTAATCTGGAAACCATCAATTCTTACCTATTAACATTCAGACGGTGAGGAGCCTAAACGATCTGATGTATAAAGTAACCAAATTCGTTTTATCGTCCACTTATTGTCGTTGCCGCTCTCCGCTAACTTACTAAACCTGAACACGATCAACAGCAAGTGTGATGTCGTTCATACTTTCCCCAGTGCGTTGTTTCTGCTCCGCACTGCTACTGTCCACATACTCTTCGTGATCGCCAATGGGAAAAAATCTCACTAGGTAATGCTGATCACTACGAATGAAGTGTACAGCTAACCCACACCTAAATCTTTGTCTTTTGAAATGGCAAGATTGAGCCCCGCCTCCTGAACACAAAAAAGGCGCCATCTAAATCTACTTAACCGGGTGCGCGGGCGGTCGCGTGGCGCCCTCACCGCGTGTCGGGACCTAGGGCTTGCTTGGCGCTAGCTTTCATTGTGCTTGAGCTGCTTGTTTCTACCGAGTGAGAAGAATGTTCAAAGACTTTTCGAGCAGAGTTTACTTTTCATTTTCATATAGCGCGTTTTCTGACGCTCATAAGGCTCCCGCCAGAGTGCCGAAGTTATGTCAGCGCTACGCCAGCATTTCGATCGATACACGTGTATTTCGTTGGGGCGGGGCTAGCTGACGTCCCCAACGAAATACACGTGTATCGATCGAAATGCTGGCGTAGCGCTGGCATAACTTCGGCACTCTGGCGGGAGCCTAAATTCCCAGGGACAAGCAACATAATCAAAACTTCACACAGTTGTATAAGTACTCGATGCCGCGATTGTTAGTACTTGGACTTGTTTGTAAGTGGATGTTTCTCGAAAAAGACACAGGCAGTAGTTATGCTTAACAGAAAGCCTTTCTCTTTCAGCTTTGTTTGGAATTTAAATCTTAGATTTGTTATTGATACATTTTCCACCTCCAAGTATGCTCTTGTCATTCATATGTGTATAGCGTGAGTATCTATATAGCGTTTCACTGACTAATAAAATGAATATCTATGTCAGTGTGAGAAGTAGTATCAATATCAAAACCAACTGCCCACTTTCTTTTCAACAAGCGTGTTGGGAAAGAAGGGGACATGTCTAAGATTATGAGGCTCAGATTCATTTCTTTCTTTTCTCATGGGCTAAACAGCGAATCATTCGAATAGAGTTAGCACAAGCTCGACTTTATCACAAATTTACTAGTCTACAGCCAATGGTGGCCTCAACGGATGCCCATTTATACTCTGAAGGCCAGAGTGCGAGGAAATAGCAAGCTTGAGATAATAGATATCGCCCAAAACACCTTTCTCTTTCAACGTGCAAGAGAAATTTCAACTTGCAAGAGAACATTTTCCCGGCAAACTACAAGATATTATGAACGTTTTTCATGGAATTTGGGCGAATCCCATGAATATAGCGGGCGGAGCATTTGCAGACATGTGAACACGTTAAAAACTTGTTGAATCCCTATATTTGAGTCTTTATTTTAAAGCAACTTTTCGTTCCGTCTAGTCATCAAGAACCGCCACGTGTACCTACCCTCGATATCATCCCATATGTCTTCCCTCAACATGACGTGGATTACGTGGCTTGATGAGGCGCCGCCCCGCCTCGGGCTCGCGCCACGTTGCGAGCGCATCATTTGGCGCGACGTAGCGCTCAACACAACGTGGCGCAGGCTTTTCCACGTTCTTCTTGTTGCCACAACACGCCGAAAATGCGCACGCAACGTGGCGCAAGCCCGAGGCGAGGGGCGCCTCATCAAGCCACGTAATACACGTCTTGTTGAGGGAAGACATATGGGATGATATCGAGGGTATATGTTATCAGGCGTTGGCAATATACTCCGCCCGCCGTATTCTTGGGAGTGAGTAGACGGTATAAAGGAGGTACTGTGACACAATAAAGCTCATTGTTCGAATTTCTGGCAGATCCCCACTAAGAAAAATCGTCCATTTGCATGAGTTAGTAAAGACTCGACAAAGACAATCATGTCCTGCTGTGTTGATCCTATTTGAGACAAGGTATTGAATGAGAGAAGAAACTAGCAATTCGGGTAGTAGTGACGTCGAGCTTCCTTACCTACCTCCAGCTAAGCAGTCCTTCGATACCTTTGACTGGAAAAGGTACACGTCTCATTACTAGTGAAGCTGTCAACACAGCGAACCGTACTGAAGCGGAGACCTTTTTCATATATTCAAAATCTCCAAGCGTCGACGCTGCCAGTAAGTGAGTGAGCCCTAGGTCCCGACACGCAGTGATGGCGCAGCGCGACCGCCCGCGCAGCCGGTTAAGTATATATCGTTAGTTCGCTTTCGCTAGAGTGGGCGGACCACTGCAGACATGACATGACATGTAATCGGTCGATAAACCTCCACCCTAGAGCATTGTTTTTTGTACTCTCTCGCCATCAAAAGCCGCCGCGCGTGTACGTAGACAGTGCTCCGCCCACTCTAGCGAAAGCGAACTAACGATAGATTTAGATGGCGCCCACAAAAAACCTTGATTTTGGGCGTGAAGTACGATGGTACGTAATTGCGGGAGGGCGAATTGAATTTACAGATTCTTCTTACTGCAACGCTTTGATTGGGAAGTTGGATATGTCGTTGTTTTACAGCAGGGCTTCAGATTGAGTTTAACATTTTGTAATCTATAGTAAGACACAAGTCGCTTGAAAAGGGGTAAGCAGGATATTGGGTGTTCCCTTTTTTTCCGTCGTGGTACTTTTCGAAGTACATGCTATACGTTTGTGATAGTGATGTCGAATTACAGGCGCAATGCTTCCTTCATTATCCGAATTGATATACTGGACAGGACTGACGCTTTTCGAATTGTGGTTGCATGCTGCATCACTCCTGGTGTTTCTTATAATACTCGTAAGTTATACATTACATCAAACAAGATTCTTTTCATCGAGGTTTTGAGAAAGGTAAGGATTTTTGCAGCCGCTGAAGATTCATCAAATCTATGTTATGTCCTATTGGTTGGTGTTTTCTCCACTATTCATCGCTAGCAGCTTCAATTCTTACTTCGTCTTCATCATTTTCGTCCGATCTGTTTTTGAATACAAAGACTTCAAAGGACCAGCACTCAAGTGAGTTTTGTAATTGCATTTTCGATTGCATAGTGTTTTTGTTGACTGAAGTGGTAAAATGCGAGTTGCGAGAAACAAACTAGCTACAAATTGCGTTTATGTTACCGTTGCCCTCTATGGAGTTCTGTATAATTTTGCATCTAAGTCAACGTTATCTTTATAAAGTTGTGTATGTTTTGTAGATTCGGCTTCAATGTGATGCGACTTGCTTTGATCGCACTTTTTGAAGTGCTGCTTTGCTATAAAATCGAAGGTGATTTCGAACATGGCCAGGTGGCGGTACGATCATCTTATGGTGTTGTCTTCACTCCAGTGTGGATACTTTTTCTAGCGCTGTGCATACAAACATGTAGGCTATTTTGACAGTTTCATATAACCATAAGATCAATGTCATTACGAGGTAAACATAGTTCAACTACGGGTGTTCTTCATAACTGGAATAAATTCTTATTTAGAAGTGCAGTGAACAAACCAAAGGAAAATTTAATACGAGAAAGCTCTTTGTCCTGAGTATAGAGTTTTAGTAGATGTGTTGTATACATATTCTTTCCGATGCAGTATCAACAATATCGTTTCACTATCCTACTCATCAATATCGTCGCAAGAATCACAGTCTAGATATTCCTCGCTCAAAAATTCATCCCTCGTCACTTGTCGCAATTTTAGCGGTAGCTTCCGGTGCCATATGTGATAGTCTGAGGCATCAGCTTTGTCCGATTTGGCCAATTCTTCTAATCGCCGATCCTGAGACGGACGTATTTTTCTCAGAAAGAAATTCAAAATAGAATTTTACGTACCTCATTTCGATCTTGACGTCGCGTCATTCTTTGATTAATCTAAATCTATCAAAATTATTCTTGCCATGCTAGAAATTTGTAACCTCACCCTAAGTTCAATTTTGTCTTGCATAAGTTTTATGCAGAGTCTTGCAATATTCATTGAATCATCAAGGCCACAGTGTTTTTGGCCTTCGAAAGCGAGGTTGTAGTGAGCCAGCATATTTTGTATTCCCGACTGCTAGAAGAGACCATAACGGTAATAGGAATGGTGTTTGTGATTGCCTACTCCGTTGCCCTTCACGAGTTTCATCACTCTTTGCTCGAAGATGCGTTTGATATTGATGAAGTATCTGCAGTCATGAGGAATCGTCCCGAAATTGGACTGCAAAAGAGTGAATTATCTTAGTCGTGGCTCAAAAATGCAGTGATTACCAGAATGCACTGATACTGGAAAAATTTCCACAAATCGTGCGGCCTTGAAAGCATCATGAGGTAATATTGTAGAAAGAGAAAATGTATTCAAAAATTCAAAAGTAATGGTAGTACCCATCGGTGACGAATGCATATCGGTGTCCGCTGTCACCAAGATCATGTTGGGTCATCCAATCACGAAACAGTCTGTATGCGTCTTTGAATACTGGGGCAGAGTCTACGGTCTCCTGGGTTATTCCTGAGATATTAAATTTGCATCATTTTTCGCAGTTTAGCAAATAATGATAATTTTGCAACATTTTCGCATTTCTACCATATGCATATATTGAAGTGGAGTCAACGCAGACTGGACAAACGTCCCATTGGCACGAGAGTATAGCCATGTGGCATGAAAAACTGGTGAAAATTTGCCCGCGCGTTGAGTGAAGTATCACTAGCTTATCACTAGCTTTAAGCGGGGTTAACGGAGTGGCTCGGAAAAATTGCGACTGCGAATTTTTCATCTCTTATTGGCCTTCTGATGCGTTGAGTTTGGGACTGTGCTTGAAATCCCCCGAAGCTGTCCAAAAAGCTCTTTTTGGATTTTCAGGGCTTGGAGTTTGCTAAGGGCTGGACGGGCGGGCCGCCAACTGAGGCGGTGATTGGCTGCCTAAGCCAATTAGCCAATTGCAGCCAAATTGGCTGGAGTGATTCCATTCATACAGTATCTGCGCCATTCATCACCGTTTTGGCGGAATCTCTCCTCCAGCTCCCTCAGCTATCTCCAAGGCCGGAAAAAGCACTTTTTGATAGGTTTGGGGATATTTCAAGCAGAGTATGGATTAGGCGCATCTAGAAGGCTAAGGTAAGATAGAAAACTTGCAGCCACTATTTTCCCGAGCCACTGTCTTTAGAGGCACCGTCCACCCAGATTTTCGACTTCCACGTTTTTGTCGTTTCAGGGCCTTCTGATGTTCCTGGTTCCGAATATGAAGTCGAGAATGCGCGAAAACCCCGACAGTCCCTGTTCCGGAAAACCCACAGGCAGGCTTTCCGGAACGGTGATTGGATGGGCGCGCACAAATGGGCGGGCATGGATGGGGGAGGGCGGGCATGGATGGGGTCCTCGTGCATCTTCGCTATTCCGAAGTGATTCTCTCGCTTCCGAAGCGGCATTTTGCGCTGCGACTTGGGCATTGGATTGATGGGGGGCCCTACTATTATATGCTGCCAAAAGCTCAACACCCTCAACTTAGGGTGGACGGTGCCTTTAAGGACCAGACAAACATTGCGCAATTTCATTGGATAGAGTATTTTATGTCGCCGAGAGGAGGTCTCTCATAGACCCTGTTACAAATAAGCACCTCTTAGGGATCGTTCATACCGCGCACAAAGGCGGACGAAGCCGGACAAAGGCGGACGAAGCCGCACAAAGGCGGACGAAGGCATGTGTGAGTGTGTGTGTGTGTGTGTCGAGAGAAACGAGACGAGGCGTATGTGAGTTTGTGTATGTGTGTGTCGAGAGAAACGAGACGAGACAAGACGCGCCTTCGTCCGCCTTCGTCCGGCTTTGTCCGGCTTCGTCCGCCTTTGTGCGCGGTATGAACGATCTTTTATGCAGAGGTGCACGTCTGTTGCAATTTCCGCCTACTTCTCCTTTCGGCTACCCATAGACTGTAGAAGGTCTCGTGAATTTCCCGAGAAGACAACAAGTGTGCAACATTGTCCATTGCATGCCGATCATCTTGTGATTCGGTTGTGAAGTTGTCCGCGTTAGTCGTTGGAAAACCATTCACAACTGAAGTGCAAGTTGATGGAGCAATGGACTCGAACGATTGTCTTGTCGGGAGAGTCACGAGGCGATTTTTTTGCGTGTTGTATGTACGGCCTATAGATAGAGCACTGGAATGTGAGGCTACTTGAGAATCATTTTCTCTACTGTGTACTCAGACCCTACTCTGCTTCAAGCGCTAGAAAGAACAACATACTTTTGTCTCCGTCGTGCTTTCAGTTTCTGCGCTTTGCTCATAATCAAAGCCTAGATGAGCGGCGCAGATGTGGGATCCACATCTCATGTTCTTTTCTGATGTAACATACATAATTCCCAGCATGCATACCTGTCAGTTGGACACAAAATGGGTCTAGAATGGGATTCTTCTCTGGACGCACATACGTTCGAAAAGTATCCACCTGTAGCATTTGTCTAGACAGCAGGCAAGAACTGAAAATGTGGAGAGACTCACTATTCTCATTTGTCGAACATCTATCAAAACAGCTGGAAACTCGATGATTTCGTGAGGGTAATCGTAAATTACTTCTACACACGTGCATTCAAAATCTATTGCCTAAAAAGACGTGAAATTTCTCGAGGACTTCATCTTCAATTATAGTCTGTTCCAATCCGGTATAGGCTGAAACTGGGACGACGCGCACACCTTCGCAACGATTTGCGCCGTGTGGAGAAAATGGCTGTGACAAATTGTGAGGATAAATGCATCTCCTAAGTATTTTTACTCTCTGTGGGTGGCAAAACGCCAGCTCGCCGATAGGGTTGCGTTCATACTGATCCGAAGTTCGAGAAAAGTTCCAGCACAGAGCTCGAAATGGGCGCTGTGGTGGAACTGTTTCCGAACATCCGGATCAGTATGAACACAGCCCAAGGCGCAGGCTTCTAGCAAGCGCTCCACGTGAAGTGCTTCGGCCCTGAACAGACTGTATACTGCACATTTACAGTAAGATGAATATTTGCGCCAAGATAATTACATCAAGCCAGCGAAGCGGATCAGGTGGGCTAGTGACATCCACACTATAAAGAAAGTCACAAATAATATGAGCGCACGGTCGGTGAGAGGTCTTTTGCGCCTTGCAAGGCGAAGCCAGTACAACTTAGACAACTATAATCGTCCCTTCACTCACCACAAGATAATCGAAGTGGCGGGCAGTTTTGTTTCCGAAGCGAGGTAAGCAGTCTCCATCATGAAGCATTCTATACATTGCGTATTCTTTGCGATAATAACGGCGTAGACGTGCTCGCAGCTGCTTTTTAGTTCCTCTGGAAACTTTTTTTAGTAGAAAAACCCCGACAAATATAGGAACTCACTGTCCTGACTGGTGAACTTGTTTTAGAAGTGTCCTCATTTCAGCAGCTGTGAGAGAATGGAGCCGACGCATCACGTCAATGAGTGTTTCCGCTTCGATTCCTTTTGGGGGTTCCTCATATTCTACATGCTTCAAGACGTTTTCGGGAGGCATTGTAGTTCGGATGACTGCTGCAAGTATAATTTCATCCAGCTTAATTTTCCAGAAGTTATAAGCTTTAATTCTTTTGATCGGTTCGCCATGATATATATTGTATTATATATGCCTGAATAATCTGCGCTTAATTTTACAGCATTTGAACAGAATGCTCCCCAAGATAATTTCATTTTTAAGGTAATTTGACTTCCCTGAATATACTTACCACTCCCGTCTGGATTATAAGCTGCAGAACCCTCAGTTTTCCGCTTCCTCTCAAGTTCCTCAGAGATATTCAAAAGCTTCTCGTAATATTCGGCAAGCTCATTTGGCGATGACTCCACTACATCGCAGCACATTCTTAAAATAAAAATGAGATATATGCTTCAAACTTTGATGATAATCAATCAGGTGATTTGGAAAGTGGGGAATATAACAGGTGTCAACAAGATCTTCCCATGATGATTTCTTTCCGAATTAAAGTAGCATGATATATCCATCGTCCCTTCCACATTGCTGCTACCCTTCTAGCGTCCCGGACGTGCCACGTGTGACTGGCACGTTGACAACGTTGGCAGCAACACGCAGCAACATGTTGGCGTGGCCAAAATGTCCTGCCAGCATGTTGTGGCATGTTACAAACATGTTGTTGCCACGTTGTCAACATGTCAGCCATACGTGGCAGGTCTGATTGTGAGACGCAGACCAAGAGTAGCAGCAACTGTGGAGGGGAAGATATTTGTGTCGAGAAACAAATTGATGTTCTAACTCTGTTTCTCCCAAATAATATCTTCGATAGGCTGAAGATACTGGTTTGATCGTCCTCAGAATAGAATACACGAAAACGCTACGCACACGCTTTTAGGGTTGTTCCGCTCAAATTTTGTGTGACTACTCCATAGTCAAAGGATAAATCTGTGAAAGCGTGAAACCCAACACGACTCTAGACGGAGGTGCGTCCATGTTGCTGCGTCCACTCGCGACAGTTCAAAGCTGAAAAGAGCAGACGATAAAGGGCCGGTGTGCACATGATTGAACCCATGGCCTTATGTTCACCTTTTCGGCGCAACCTATAGGCAGGTTTCATACTGATCCGCAAGTTCCGAAACAGTTCCAGCACAGCGCACAGTTCGAGCGCTATGCTAGAACCGTTTCGGAACTTTCAGATCAGTACGAACCCAGCTATAACCGAGATGTAATGTCATGGGTCTGAAAAGCAACCAAAGGTTCGGAATTGAACATACCGCAGACCACAAAGATTTTGCAGTGGCTGGGATAGTACTCAAAACTCCTTCTACACTTCTTTTCAATATAAAATTGTTGGAGGAACGTCCACCCAGATCTCCAGGTTCCTTGTTGAAAGCAGAACCTATTGCGGGTACTAGAGACTCTTGGGCGGTTTTGCCCGTAACGAGAATACAAGTACAAAAGACGGTGGTTCAGGATTTATTAATGAGTTAACAAGAGTGCAGCGAGTATGCGAGCAGGAGAACGATACCTTTCTGTTCCACAGTAAATATGCAAGTGAGGAGAGGGGAGTAAGTTCGGCCACGCCTATCTCGGCGTGACCTAAGGTCGCGGCGGGGCATCATCATCGGCACGATGATACTCCCGCCGTGAGGGAGACAGCCAAAACACAGCATATGAAATACAAAAACAACAATTTAATATCACATGTCGCGTCCTTGATCTTGCTGGAGCAGGACTGAGCTGGGCATTGAGCAGACAGTGGACACGGTGATGGAGTCGGCTAGAGACGGGCTGTTGATGGCTGGGGGACGGCTGGAGCTGGGCTGCTGCTGGACCGACAACGCTGGTGGTGTTGGACTTCTTGGGCTGAGGCGGGCTGGAGGCGTTGTGGCGTTGGACTTCTTGGGCTGAGGCAGGCTGGAGGCAGGTGACGTTGGACTTCTCGGGCTGAGGCGGGCTGGAGGTGTCGTGGCGTTGGATTTCTTGGGCTGAGGCGGGCTGGAGGCAGGTGACGTTGGACTTCTCGGGCTGAAGCGGGCTGGAGACGTTGTGGCGTTGGACTTCTTGGGCTGGGGCGGGCTTGAGCGGAAGTTCAGTGCCGCGGACGTTTCGGTGCGTTATGTGGGGCTCGCCTGCTGGAGCAAAGGAGGAAATTGTGGCCAAGGCCACAATTTCCACACTTTACCCCGCAGTCATCTTCATGCGCTGCTTTCAGGCAGCGCAGGCAGAGCCCCATCGTCGCGGCTTGTGCGGCCTTCTCGACGGGATCCCTGAAACGAACGCACCTACCGGAAAAATGGTTGTCTCGGTTCTCCTCCACACTGCAAAATACGCAGTTGGATCTGGGTGAGGTGCGTTCCAGAATCCGTTTGTTCTGCTCCACAATCTGGGCGTTCGACTCGAGGATTCTGCCGTTCTGCTCGACAATGGTTCTGCACAGCATCTCCAACGCGGCCAGCTTGGGTGCCAGGTGGGTGTCGTCGTAGCGGTCCAAGTCCTCCAAGGCTTCTTGTAGCTCCGCCGTAAGTGACATCGTTGGATGGTCGTCTTCACCATCCGCAGATATATATAGGAGAAGGGAGGTTGTGTGGCTTATCTTATCGAAGCTAACATGAATCATTGTGCTTTCAATTACTGCTTTTACGATTCTTCAATGGGGTTTTACGACAGCTTGATAATATTAGACGAGTTAGGTGTGGGAGTTACATATTACCGATTTGAGGTGCGAGGAGGGACGACGAGGTCATCACTAATTACGACATTTTGGGGGCACCAGTTTTGAGGTGTGAAGTCGCCTGCAGAGCAATGATAATTACGAGGTGTACGAGGGTATGTTTCTGAGGTGCGATGATGTATGTTTTGAGGTGCGAAGGAGGAGTTAGTGCTCTAGGGTAGGTGAAAGCGTACTTAAGGGCAGAGCTGCTACATTTTCTATGTACATTGCATTCTTTTCTTCTTTGCTTCATATTTTTTTTATATATTTGGATCATTTTCTTTACTCTCCTTCTTCTTACAAATGAGATGATAAGCTAGTGTTAGTACTTTTTTGCATGGGTAGAGTACAATTTTCAGTAGCATGACTAGCAGCATAGGGCCGCATAAATATGTTAGTCCTGCGAGAGTGAATGTTGAAGCGAGTATGAATGTTGCCATTTTCCAGTGGTTTCGTATTGTTTGAATTAGTGGGGTGATGTCTGGGATAGAAAAATCCGTTAACCACTGATGTTTAATAGAGAGCGTGTGCTCAGAGGTTCCAATGTTATAGTTTTTGTGAGGAATGTGATAGTGAAGATGTGCTTGCAATCTGAGCTCACTTTCTGATGCTAAGCAATCTGATTTGCACGATTCGTCAATAAGGGCATATTCGAATGCTAGTAAGTGATAGGTTCTAACATTAAGTGGTCCGCATTCAACCGTGAATTCGTGACTTTCGCAAATGACCGTTATTTCCATGCGTGTGTGGGAGTGGCATAGGGTCGTAAGCTTAGCTCCTTCCTCACAATCGTAGCATCCTGTTAGATTGACAAACTGTAGCTTGCATTCATTTTTGTCAACAATCTGTGAGTTGTTCATAAGCGATCGCGACTCTAACGTTATGACAAATTCTCCATCATCTGTAAATGCGGCTATAGTCTCGTCAGTCTGTTCGAGTTTCACATTAGGATTTGCATGGGGTAACGTGTAGCTTGAATTCTGTAGTGAGACTAGGGAATCTTCGGGGCACTGGCAATAGGCTGTGCCGTCACAGTGGCATTGAACTGTATTTCTGCATGTATGTAACTCCTTTTCTGCTTGAATTCTACTTGCGCATTCAACTGGGATTGAGAATTGTGACGGTAGTAGGAAAGCTTCACCTTCTGCTAGTGCAAATCTTTGGTTCAGCAGTGGTGTTGTGGGCATTTGGACCGAAACCGCTGTTATGTTGAATCCACTGAACGACTCCTTAATGTAGGGTTTGATGTGCAGACTCGCCGAATCCTCGCCATTCATTCTGGTTATTGTAACATCAATTTCTATGGATGGTGTCCATTCGGTGCACTTAACTACTTCGTAGACTGTTCGTGATGTTGGTTGATTTGCCACTCTGTAGAAGCGACAGGCTGGGAGTGGTAGGAGGCATCCACATGGTAGTCCCCCGCAAATGGATGTGCATCCAGAGTAACCCGGATATCCACTGTACTTCTTTAGTTCGCTTATCGTCTCATTTGATCTCACAGTTTGACATTTTGTGGGGGTACATGTTCCTGCCTCCGCGCACCTTTCCACGTAGTATACATGTGTTAGTGTGCTCCTAGTGAAGGTCTCTATAGCTTTCACGCATCTCATTTTCATCGTCTTTTTGACTACTTTCACTAATGCGATTGTCTTATTGGCATGATGAATTTCGATGCAAGTTTCGTGAATCAGTCGATTAAATAGTAGTTCTTTACTATAGTGGTAATTGCAGGATGATTCTTCGCAAAGAAGATTCGCTGATTGGCGGGTATAACCACTTTGACAGGCGGCTGCGGACCCTATAAGCATGAGCGCAAGGCTCAAGGCGATAGTGCTGTATGGCAAGGGCGCCGGAAAGAAACGCTGAAGCGGAGTGGTCCGAGGAGCGTTGGAGGATGCTGGTGTTCTTTCCGCATGTGCAGCTAAGTTTTTTCTCGTTCTTGTTAATATGCCAATGGTCGCTACTAGTATTAGGACCAGGACGTAAATGAAAACTGCTAGTGTGGCGATTGCCGCAATGGGGGAGCATTGTGGGTTGCCTAGCAGGCTTTTTGATAGGAAATAGTTGTAATCGCAGAAGTTTGGTCTTGTGCAATATTTGTCAAACTTGAGGCTACTATTCGCTGTCGAGCTGATTTCAACTTTGACTTTCTCGTTGTGTGGGGCAATGGGGATGGCATAGGAGTTGGCACGCGTTGAGTTCTCAAGTGTTGTGCACTTGCCATTGAGACATATTTGAAAGGAAGTGTTCTGAGGTGGGATGTAAATTTTTCCGTTGTAGCACGAGATTTTTGAGGGTGTTATGATCCCATGGGCTGAGGCGGTGGATAACACGGATAAGACAAGGAAGATTAGCGGAAGTGTGGACCGCAATAGTATATTTTGATGCGTCAATCCTGCTTCAAAATCCCTTATGACATCATATGCCCTTGTTTTTGAAGCGCGCGCCAAATGCGATCTGTCTTTTTGAGCAACACAATTAACAGCTTTTGCTCCCGTTTGATTTGTCTTATCAGCGTCGGGAATTCTTTCCACTGGAGCATTTTTGTCGGGAAGACTTCGTACCTCTAGCGGAAACAGCTTGTTTAGGGGGCGCTGAATGATTTTGCGGTTTGGTAGCATCACTTTAGCCGATCTGCACAAATCATCTGCACTTTTAATAATTTCAACGACTT